AAAGATCCTTAGGTGAGGATTAACAACAACAACAACAAAAAAAAAAAACCTCATACAACTCAAAAACAAGAAAAAGTTTAATTCGCCCTGGCCTGTTTGGCTCAGCGGTTGGAGCATCAGCCTGCAAACCAGAGAGTCCCAGGTTTGGTTCCCGCTAGGGGCATGTACCAAAAATAAATAAATAAATAAATAAATAAATAAATAAATAAATAAATACAAGAAAAAGTTTAATTAAAAAATGGGCACAGGCAGAGTCATAGAAGTAGGGTAAAGACTGACAATCCTCATAAGAGGGGAAGGGAGGAAGGGATAAACCACAGAACTTATATTCATGTATGCGTAACCAATGGGCATAGACAACAAAGCTGGGATGGGGTGGGGGGAGATGGGAGGAGGGTGTCAATGGAGGAAAAAGGAGAAACATTGTAACAAAAATAAATTAATAAAAATAAATAAATAAATAAATGGGCAGAGGATTTGAATAGACATTCTTCCAGAGAAGATATATAGATGGTCAAGAGGTACGTGAAAAGGTGCTCAACATCACTAACCATCAGGGAAGTGCAAATCAAAACCTCACACCTGTTACAATGGCTGTTATCAGAAGGACCAAAAATAAGTGTTGGTGAGGATGTGGAGAAAAGGAAACCCTTGTGCACTGTTGTTAGGAATGTAAATTGGTATAGGCGTTATGGGAAAACAGTACGGAGGTTTCTCAAAAAATTAAAAATAGAACTACCAAATGATCCAGCATTTCTACTCCTGGGTATTTATCCAAAGGAAACAAGAACAGTAACTCAAGCCCTGGCCAGTTTGGCACAGCGGTAGAGCATCGGCCTGTGGACCAGTGTGTTCCGGGTTCAATTTCGGCTAAGGGCACGCGTACCTTGATTGCAGTTTGTCCCCAGCCCTGGTCGGGGTCATGCGGGAGGCAACCAGTGGATGTGTCCCTCCTCACAATGATGTTTCTCTCTCTCCCTTACTCTCCCTCTCTCACTACCTAAAGATAAGTAGAAAAATATCCTCAGGTGAGGCTTAAAAAAATAATAAATAAATAAACTTATTTAAAAAAACAAAACAATAACTCAAAAAGATACCTGCACCTGCCCTGGCCATTTTGGCTCAGTGGTTAGAACATCAGCCCATGGACCAGAGAGTCCTGGGTTCGGTTCCCCAAAGGGTACATACCTCGGTTGCAGTTTGTGCCACCCTAGTTGGGGTCATGTGGTTGGCATCCACTCAATGTGTCTCTCTCACATCAATATTTCTCTCTCTCTCCCTCCCACTCTATGTGAAGATAAATGCAAAAATGTCCTCAGGTGAGGATTTAAAAAGAAAAAGAGCCCTGGCCGGTTTGGCTGAGCGGTTAGAGCATCGGCCTGCGGTCTGGAGAGATCTGGGTTCGGTTCCCGCTAAGGGCACGTACCTCAGTTACAGTTTGTCCCCGGCCCTGGTTGGGTCGTGTGGGTGGCAACCACTCGATGTGTCCCTTTCACGTCGATGTTTCTCTTCCTCCTACTCTATCTGAACAAAATATTGGAAAATGTCCTCAGGTGAGGATTAAAAAAAAAAAGATCCCTGCACTCGATGTTCATTGCAGCGTTATTTATAATAGCCAAGACATGGAAGTAACGTAGGTGTTCATCAATAGATGAATAGATAAAGAAAATGATACACACATACACTCAATGAATTATATACACACACACACACGTACACACACACACACGTCTATATGTCTATATATACAATGGACTATATTTAGGCATAGAAAAGAAGGACCTCTTGCCATTTGCCACAATATGGATGGACCTTGAGGGCATTGTACTAAGTAAAATAAGTTACACGGAGAAAGACAAATACCATATAATCTCACTCGTATGTAGAATCTAAAATAAACAAAAGAATGAACTCACAGACAACAAATTAGTGGTTGCTTGAGGTGGGGGAAATGGGTGAATGTAGTCAGAAGGTACCAACCTCCAGTTATAAAATAAATAAATCCTGCGATATAATGTACATTATAGCAACCATAGTTAGTAATATTATGTGTTTGAAAGTTGCTAAGAGAATAGATCTTAAAAGCTCTCATCATAAGAAAAAAATTGTAAACAAGAAATTTGTAACTGTGTGGTAGTGGGTGTTAACTAGACTTATTGTGATCATTCACAGTATATACAAATATGGATCATTATATTATATACCTAAAACTAATATGTTATATGTCCATTTTATCTCAATAAAAATAAAAAGAGTCCTGGCTGGTTTGGCTCAGCAGTTAGAGCGTCAGCCCGTGGACCAGAGTTTTCCAGGTTCAGTTTCCGCTAAGGGCACGTACCTCGCTTGCAGTTTTTCCCAGGCCCCGGGTGGGGTTATGTGGGTGGCAACCACTCGATGTGTCTCTCACATTGATGTTTCTCTCTCTCTCTTTCTCCCTCTCTCCCTCCCACTCTATCTCAAGATAAATTAAAAACAAAAAAGAAGAAGAAGAAGAAGAATAGTAAAAATAAAAAAAGAGCAAGCTTAAAAAATGAACTTTGGACATACCAAACATAAATTTTTATCAAACTAATATTATGCTTCATCTTCATTGTAGGCATGATTACATCCAGGCGAGGTTATGATGACTTGATCTGGGTTTTCAGTAACTTAATTATTTTTTTAAAATTTTCTCTTTCACTGGGCCCCAGAGAATGGAATCAGATTCCATGCTGTGAGGATATTCCCAAAAGCATTTCTGTAGAAACAATCAAGGATGTCAGATCAGGTCAAAGGAGAGAGATGACCTATCCAAGTTCCCCAGAAGAGCATGTCACATCCCTGGACTCCAGGAACATTAATATTGGCAACATCCAAATGTGTTCTTTTCCACATTGTAATTTCCCCCAAATATGGATAAAAATCTAGAGCCTGGACTTGGCTGTGCTTTGAGGAACTAGGGGAAGGGCCTGGTTCTTTGCTGGCCTGAGGCAACACAGAAAGGACAATAACTACCAGGGAAGACAGGTAAAGGGTAACAATAAATCACCATCGGAGTTTTAGGGGGTGCAGCTGACTGGTCACAAATGACTACCAACAGATTATTAGAATGTGTCAGCATTTTTAAGAATCCCCCAAATGTAATGGGGGAGGAATCAGGTGAAATGATACACTTCCTAGAGATAGTCACACACAAGGCAGAATGAACTATTGTCACTTGAGCTTTTTAGGGAAGTGTTGACCATTGAACAGGGAGATTTAACAGAGTGAGTTACATCTGGTCACTCCTGCCCACATTAAAACTGGCCCCTCCCTTACTACAGTCTATGTTAACGAGGTTCACCCTTCAATTGCTAGAGTTTGAGGTCTTATAACCTTTTTATTACTTACTTGACTTTTTATAAATATTTAGCATTATTGCATCTGAGCAAGATTTTGATTGTGCTAGAGAGTGGCGAGAAGCATCCAGCCCAGGGAAATGATCTGGCACTGTATTTTAAGGCTAGCTCTAGTTAAATCCTTCACTTGGTAAACATTTATTAAACATCTACAATGTGTTGGGCCCACTGTACTGAATTAGATAGCAACCAGCCACTCCATGCTATCAGCATGTAATAGGAGAAAAGACATTCTTAACAGTAATAACTACACAAGTTGAAGATTCGTAATGGTGGTCAATTAAGGGCACATTGTCTTCCTCATCACTTTTTACTAAAGGAAAAGACTCATAAGGTAGAGGAGACTGTAGATTGAGTCATGCCTCTGGAGATGTGTAGGTTCTACGACTTACTAGAATTTTCTTTGGTCTGTTTCCTCATGTACACAATGGAGGTTTCATAAATCAGTTGGGGGGATTAAATTAAGAGAATGAATGTAAAGTGTTTAACAAAGTTCCTGGCACATAATGAATAATGTTACTATTATACCTGCTTTGTGCTCTCTTAACAGAGAAGTATCTACAGCCTCCAAAGCTCTGCTACCTATATCTGGAGAGGTTCCTTCTGATATCAGTCAACAAGTTCGTAATTTCAATAAATAAATAAAAGAAAAATAGAAAAGACAAAATTTTAGTTTCATATATGTACTAAGCACTGTGAAAGGGCCTCTGTACTGTTATAAAATTAGTATAAATTTAGTTTTCTAACCTTGGCTGATACTAATGAAACATGAGATAGCTGGATGACTGGAATTCATCCCAGGAAGACTAGTAAAGAGGAAGGACTATGAAAACTTCTCCAAAATAAAAATCTTTTAGGTAAAAAGGGAGTACGGCTATAGGAGGGGCCTAGAAATACTGGAAGTAATAACCTGAATATGCATAAATCACGTTACACGTCTGTCAGCTTTGAAAAGTGAATGACTTCAACACTGGCCTCTCGACCCTGGGGCAGTCAGGGTCTTCCACTTTATCAGTTATAGTCCCTCCCACAGAGTCCAGAACAAAACGGACTCAGTAACTACACCACATGGAATCTGAAGAGATGTTTAATCACAATAGGGTTTTATTTTTGTATTTAAAAACTCATTTCTTAATATACATTTATATTAAGAACAATTAGAACAATCGGTCACATAAACAACTGCCCTCACGTAATAGGTAGTTGCTACTTGAAATAAAAACCCAGGTGACAGTAATAAATGCAGGCACATAAAATAGTATATATCAAACAGCTTGGATGAAAGATGGCCTGTCCTGAAAAAGTGTGTGGTGATTGCAAAAACTGGCCTGAGACAAGAAGACATTGATGTTAGAAGATGCATGTGAAGAATTCAAATGAAATGTGTAAAAACAAGGGTAGTAAAATATTTACTATTTTAAATAAATAAAACCTTAATTACTAAAATGAATAATGAAAGTGAGAGTATCCCTCTTCCCCAGTTAGTGTATTTTTGTAGACTGGATAATCCTAGTCAGAGCCATGGAGCTATCGATTCCCACTTCACCTTTGTGTCACTGAACCTCTACTTCCTGTTCAGTGCGTGAGGTGTTTCATATATTTGACTTTCTCCCACTACTTCTTTTATTCCTCTGGTTCTTCTTCTTCTTCCTCTTCTTCCTCCTCCTCTTCTTCCTCTTCCTCCTCTTCCTCCTCCTCCTCCTCCTCCTCCTCCTCTTCCTCTTCTTCCTCTTCTTCTTCTGCTTCTTTTTCCTCTTCCATTGCCTCTTTTGCAGCCTCTTCTGCAGCCTCTTCTTGTGCACTTTTACAAACAATGCACATAATAGTCAAAACTGCTAACATTATGAAAAGAAGTATTAAGAATGCTAAGATCAGTCTGTGGAAATCCCGTTCATCTTTCATAGGCATGCTAGTGCTGTGACTTCCACCTCCAGTTGGCGCTTCTTCACCAGGGGGACCACTGTCCACACTACCGCCCTCACCAGGGTTTTTGCAGTCTGGGGGTGCATAGCCACGATTACAATGGCAGTGCTTTTTATCGTTGCAAAATCCTTTCCCATTACACATTTTCTGTGGATCACAGTCATTTTGGAGAACATCATCATCAATGCAGGAGTTCTCCTTACAGAGTTTCTTTGGGGCACAAGCTGTGCCATACTGCACATCTTCAGAAGAAGAGGTAGCACCAGTGTTTAGGGAATTCATGCTCCAGCAGAACCCACCTTGATAAGGAATCTGGATCACTGAATAACTGCTTTTGAGCTTTGGTACTAATTTAATATTTGTACATATAATTTTTCCACACATCACATTCTCAGAATCACACTTAGTATATTGTGAGCCACCTTTATTGGAATGGCCACAGTTTCCAAACGGGTTTCCTTTGCTGTTAATCAGCTCATAACAAACGTGTGGAGCAGACTGTGAAAGTTCCCCAAAAGTTTCACTGCACTGATCATTAGGGTTCCTGCACACACCGTTTATACAGTAAAATGAGTCACATAGCGTACCGTCTTGCTTGTATCTATTTTCGGGACAATTTTCAGAGGTACCATTACAATACTCTGGGAGGTCACACTCTCCCTTAGACTGACGACATGTGGCACCTTCTGGTTGAAATTCGCAGGTATAGGAACAACAAAGTCCATCACTACATACTGCATTAGGCTTCAAAGTACAATTAAAGAAACAGCATGGGCTATTATCACAAGCAGCACCACAGTCACACTGCTCATTATCACCAATAACACCATCACCACATTTGTTAGCCCTACGCAAGCGGTCTATGTGCTGAGGGTTGTTAAACAGGCAGGCCCCTCTGTGCTCCTGGAGGAACTGGTAGTAGTAGTCAGAGCTGCAGTTGCTGAAGCCACTTTCTTTAGTGATGTTTTCATACATGAGGCAGAGGTGTTTACCTTTACAAATACAGGCCGAGTGGTCGTGCGGAATACCCAAGTTGTGGCCAAGCTCGTGGACCATGAGCGCTGCAAACAGGAGGACATCTTCATGATGGAAGGATTCGACAGCTGCTGCAAAACCACTTGAACAGGCACCATTGAGAAATGCCTGCCCCATACCCCGTTCAGGATGCTGTCCAACAATCATGTGGGCAACATCATGCTTCACACGATGGAGGAGCTTCTCTTGTCTCCAGCTATTGAAATTCCTGAGTGTAACTTGCAGGTCCCCTGGGACTTCTATGAGGTCCCCCTCGGTCCAAATCTCCATTCCAGCCAGCACCACCTCTGTGTTGATTTCCCTAGTGAAGCTGTTGGCCAGGGCAATGATGTCCATTACTCCGTGGACCGTCTCATTGACGTTACTGCCCCACATTTGGAACCGCTGCTTGTTGACCACGACAAACATCTCCACGTACTTGGTGTGTGACTGCAAGTAGGACAGCACCTGTAGGCCGCGAGGCTTCCTGCTCCCTTGTTGCCGGCTGGTGGACACCACTTGGCTGTCTTGGGAAGTGACATTGCAGGAGACTTGAGCTTGATGTGCCATGGTGTACAACACATGTTCAAACCGTTCTGAAGAGTCTATGGGTTTGATGCCGTAGGAGATTCCGTCCTTGATCAGGATGCCCCTGAGGCCTGAACAGGTGTTGACAGAAACAAAAGAACCCGGGACTCCTTCTATGTAGCCTTCATAGTGACAGTCATGTGAGATTAAGGGTATTTCTTGTCCCAGGATGCCATCGTGGTAGCTGAAGACTGGAAAGTTATTGATAAAATAGTCTCTCTTCACCTTCAGGTGGATCAGCTGTTTCTGGCCCTGCATAAATATCACGTAAGATGCCTTTTCCACTGGCTCTTCCCTTCCCTCAACTGTCAGAGCCTTGGGGATGACTATTTCAAAGGAAGAGTAATGTGCTGAACCCAGGTCACAGTACAAGCTTGGCAGTAAACTCAGTACCAGCATCAGTGTGATCCCCAACCTGACACATGAAGATCCTGGCACCAGTGCCAGCCTCAAGCCCTTCATCTGGGGAGCCCAAGTCTGAAGCACTCCACTAGTCTTATACATACCCATGTGGTTCTTCTGTAGAGAAGACAAGGAGGAGGCAGAGTCCCTCACAGAGGTGGCCACTGACATCCCCTAGTTGATCAGTGGCTGATGCAGGGCCTATGACCTATGTCCATCAGCAGCAGTGATCCTTGACACCCAGACCCTTAGTCACAGGTATTAGCTCCAGATGTATGCTGGGTGCATAAAGGTACCTACTGCGTACTTCCAAGAGCAACTGCCTACCTATGGCTTTGTCCTTTCTAGTCTGTCTGATCTCTCTGTTATCCTTCAGATAGTTTTTTTCTGTGGCTTCCTTCCGTAGCATTAGCTTTATTGATTCCTGGCTAAAGTCATCTGGGTATTACGGTGATGTAATCACGAAGAAGGACTTCGGACTCTAAAATGCAAGATTGTACCTTGAGAGAGGAAACAAAACCTCCATACCTTCCTCAACTGTGCCACACGGAACACCCCGACCCCCACCCATCCTGTGTCGGTTGCTCGGCTAACTCCTAGTGTTCCAGAACAAGGGCCTTGGAGATCATTGGTGGGCACACTCCGGTGACCATTCTCCCTCTTCTAAAACTCTTGCTCTGTAACACATAGGCATCACAACTTAGGGTGTTCTTGATGCCTCAATGAGACTTGTTCTCAACCTTCCTAATCCCGCGACCCTTTAATACAAGTACTCATGATGTAGTAACCCCCCAACCATAAAATTATTTTTGTTGCTACTTCATAACTGTAATTTTGCTACTGTTATGTCTGAGGCGACCCCTGTGCAAGTGTCGTTCGACTCCTGAAGGGGTTGCGACCCACATGGTGAGAACCACTGCTTTATAGTGATATGCACACTTTACAGGCCAGATTGTTAGATAAGGCAAGGAGGTGATTGCCTTGTGCTCCGAGAGAGACCCAGATGGGCTTGTGACCATGGGACAAGAGACAATACTCCTGTGTTTTAACATCATCAAAATTCAGTCTCCCAAGTTCTGTTTATAACACTTTCCAAAAATGTGTATGGGAGGTACCAGCAGAGCCGACTTCTCTTATGTATGATTTTCATGGACACATTGGCTGGTAACTCCAGGCCCACACCCTTCTCTGGATGGCCCTACCATATCGGTATCCTAAAGTATGCCAGTTGAAGACTGGGTATCCTCAAAGTCTCCCCTGTGTTAGAAAATGGCCTTCTGTGTCCAGTGCCCACTTCTGTATGTTCATCCTTATACATCCAGGTTCAAGAGTAGATGGACTAGAAATACTTATCGAATGAATAAATACTCCCAGGTAAGGGTGCTGGGATGTCTCATCTGTTGTATGTTACTTGTTTGTGCTTGCTTCATTCCTGCCCTGAAAGGCTGAAAGTGTCTAGAAAAACCCACAGTGCTGACAGGTGGCACTTTCATGATCTCAAAATGAGCCTCCCTCACTCTGGCTAGTGGGGCTCATTTGGGTAGGGGTTGTCCCATGAACCAAAAGGTTCCTGGTTTGTTCCTGGTCAGGGCACATGCCCAGGTTACGGGTTTGATCCCCACTCCACCCCACTCTGGAAGGAGGCACCCAATCTGTGTCCCACTCTCACATCGATGTTTCACTTTCTCTCTCCCTCACCCTTAATCTCTCTCTAAAAATCAATAAAAATGGTTCTGGCTGGCATGGCTCAATTGGTTGAGTGTCATCTTGTGCACCAACAGGTTGCTGGTTCGATTCCAGGTGAGGGCAGATATCCAGGTTGAGGGTTCAATTCCCAAGTTGGGGTGAGTGCAGGAGGCAGCTGATCCATGTTTCTCTCTCACATCAGTATTTATCACTCTCTCTCCTCCAAATCATAAAAACATTATATATATATATATATATATATATATATATATATATATATATCTCCATCCAAACAAACTATGGTAAAAAAAAAAATCAATAAAAACGTGTTTTGTTTTATTTTAATCTTCACCCGAGGATATTTTTTTCCATCTATCTTCAGACAGAGTGGGAGGAAGAGAGAGGAACAGAAAGGGAAAGAGAGAGAAACATCAATGTGAGAGGAGCACATCGACTGGGTGCCTCCCGTACGACCCTGTCAGTGCCAGGGACAAACCGAACCCACAACTCATTGGGCCAACGATCTACCTCTGTGCCAAACTGGCCAGGGCTTGTTTTGTTTTTTAATGTACCTACTTCTTCCTACATTTTGCTGGTCAGTTTACTTTTCTAATGTCTCTTAGCTCATATTTCACTGGGAAAAAGAAGAGCAATCAAGAGTACATGTATATGTGACTTCCGGTCAAGTGGCAGCATAGGTAAACACGGTATCACCTCCTCCCACAACCACATCAAAGTTACAACTAAACTACAACAAAACCATCATTCAGAACCACCTGAAATCGAGCTGAATGGAAGTCCTACAACTATGAAATTAAAGCAGCCACCACACCGAGACTGGTAGGAGGGGCAGAGGCACAGATGGGCTGGTCCCACACTCAAGTGTGGCAGATAAAATTCAGGAGGGAAACCTTGGCTGGGAAGGTCCTCTCTGAGGAGTGAGCAGTCCCCGTCCCACACCAGGTGCCCAGCTCAGGGATCCAGTGCCAGGAGGAGAAGTCCCCATAATTTCTGGCTGGAAAAACCAGCCTGAACTGAGGCTGAGGGAGGCTGCCGCTGCAAGAGCCCCAACCAGTTCCTCTTAAAGGGCCCGCATGGTGTTACTGAGACTTGCTCCCTCTAAGCTCGGAGAGAAGGCAGCTTGAGGGGCTCCAGAGACATACAGGGAAGAACTGAGCAGTTTGGCACTGGGACAAGGGTTAGAGAGGGGGCTTTCTCCTGTACAGACAAGCTGGCAGGGGCTCACACTGTTTGCCCCACCCCGGTGATTCCCTGAGGCCCTGCCCCCACCCAAGCTGTTTCCAAAGGCTTTACATAGGATTGGCCCCTCTTGGATCCTGCTTCAGAGTTTCCTATGATCTCTCATACAAGGAGCATCTGATCTCAGTGAGCCCCATAACTCTCATTAAGTGGCCACAGGCCTGGCACTAGAAGCAACCAGCCTTGGTTCACAACTAGGCTTTTCCTGAGCAATTCCAAGCCCAGCACAAGAAAGAGCCATCTGCAGATCACTTTGTAGCTTATGCTGGGTGGCCCCGGATAGAACACAGGCAGTGGCCGACCTTGCCCCAGAGCCAGCACACCCAGTGGAAGGCTTCAGACCACATCCAGACACCACCACCCAACCACCTCCACAAGCGACACACTCAACGAGCAGACTCAGTGGGTATCAGAGCCCTGATGAAGTAAGTCTTGCTGTGTGTGGTTGGTCCCTACACAGCTGATCTTCCAAGGTAGTCAGAGGACAGTGGGCAGTGGGCACAGCCAGTCCTTGCAGCTGAGCAGCCTGAGTAAATCTGTCCCATTCATGTGCACACAGCAATCAAGACTCAATTACAACAGAAGGGTGTGCGTCCACACTAGGAATGCACCATGAGGTCCCAGCTGGGATGACTGGGGAGGCTGTGCCACTGGATCTTACAGGACACCTACCACAATAGGCCACCCTGCAATGCCTAGGAGACATAGCAACTCTACTAATACATAAAACAATCACAGGGAAGCAGCCAAAATGAGGAGACAAAGAAATATGTCCCGCCCTGGCCGGTTTGGCTCAGTGGTTAGAGCGTCGGCCTGGGGTCCAGAGACATCCGGGTTCGGTTCCTGTTAAGGGCATGTACCTCGGTTGCAGTTTGTCCCCGGCCCTGGTTGGGTCGTGCAGGTGGCAGCCACTCAATGTGTTCCTTTCACATTGATCTTTCTCTCTCTCTCTCTTTCTCTTTCTCTCTCTCTCTCTCTCTCCCTCTGTCTCCCTCCTGCTCTATCTGAACAAAAAATGGAAGAATGTCCTCGGGTGAGGATAAAAAAAAAGTTCATATCCATTTTTAAGTACACTCAGTGGTAATAAATACAGTCATAATGTTGTTCTACCATCACTGCTATTCATCCTCAGACTCTTCATCTTGTAAAAACTATGTACTCATTCATCTGTGAATCCACATTACCTCCCTCCCCCTGCCCTAGCTGCTGCCATTCAACTTTCTGTCCCTATGATTGTAACTACCTTGAGTACCTCATATGGTGGAATCACACAGTATTCGTGTGTTTGTGACTGGTTCATCTCACTTAGCATAATGTCCTCAAGGTTCATCCATGTTGTTGTGTATTGCAGAATGTCCTTTCTTTGCAATGGTGAATATATTCCATTGTATCTACATACTATACTTTGCTCATCCATTCTTTTGTCAGTGGATACTTAAGTTGCTTTATGTTTTGTTTTGTTTTATTCCTCACCTGTGGATATTTTTCTACTTATTATCAGATAGAGTAGGAGGGAGGGAGAGAGAAACATCAATGTGATAGAGCCACATCGACTGGTAGCTTCCCACACGGCCTGACGAGGGCCAGGGACAAACCGCAACAGAGATATGTGCCCTTGACCAGAATGGAACCATCGAGTCATTGGTCCGTGGGCCGACGCTCTAACCGCTGGGTCAAACCAGCCAGACCTGCTTTATGTTTTAGCTGTTGTAAATAATGCTGCTATCAACATGGACATACAAATACCACTTTAAGCCCGGCTTATGAGGCTCAGTGGTTGAGTGTCCACTCATGCACCAAGAGGTTTCCTGTTTTTGTTTTGTTTTTTATCCTCACCCGAGGACATTTTTCGATATTTTGTTCAGATAGAGTGAGAGGGAGAGAGAGAGAGAGAGAAACATCGACGTGAAAGCGACACATCGAGCGGTTGCCACCCACACGACCCAACCAGGGCCGGGGACAAACTGCAACCGAGGTACGTGCCCTTAGCGGGAACCGAACCCGGGTCTCTCCGGACCGCAGGCCAACGCTCTAACCGCTGAGCCAAACCGGCCAGGGCGAGGTTTCCTGTTTAATTCCCAGGCACATGCCTGGGTTGAGGGCTTGATCCCCAGTATGAGGGGTGTAGGAGGCAGCTGATTGATATTCCTCTCTCATCAATGTTTCCATCTCTCTCTCCCTTTCTCTCTCTCTCAAAATCAAGTTTTCTAAAATATGTTTTCATT